TGTTAATGCATGGATTTTATTGTTAGCCTGCTGTTATTTTATAGGAAATCTTCATATTGATATTATTGTTAGTGTTAAACCTTCAAGATCATTATTCCGCATGAAGAGAAAAGCCTTCATAATTCTGCTGCTAGTTGCAATTAAAGAAACTTGGCTTTCAAGATAATCCCGGTTATTTTGGAGAATTTTTTTTTCTTTTTGTAGATCTTCCTTCAGGTGCTCATGACCATTCAATTTTGTTTGATAAAATTCTATTTCGCTTATAATTCGGGAAACTTCATCGCATTCTGCAATATCCTCTATGAGTTTTTCTTGCCTTTTTTTTTCGAGAGCTTCTAGATCTTTCTGACACTGTGATTGATCTTTAATCCAATCTGGGATAGCTTGAGACCCTGAACACTCCATAAAACTAGCGAGATTTTTTTCGAGATTATTAACTTTCTTAGTATCAAGTTCCCATTTTTTATCTAAAAGGACTTTCAAACTTTCTTTGGGTTTTTCAACGAAATGGAGATACTTGGTAAGCGGCTTAGAAGCTTGTGTCGCTTGCTAACCAGAGGCACTTATTAATAAACTCCCTTTCTTTTATTACCGGTTTAATCCTCTACCACAATCCTTTATGGACTTCTAGGATTCCTACAGGGCTAATATCCAATTAAGGTAAGTTTATTAATTATACTTGTGCAAATACAATGGGTACAAGTTTATACAATATTGATGGTTACTTTCTATTTTAACTAGCTAAACCCTCACTATTTATATCTGCCACAATGCGTACACTGATCTACCGCTGCGTCCTGCAAATCTTCACTTAAACTATTTAGACTTCTTGATGCTGAGTCCGATGGATCGCGCCCTGTCACATAACAAACATCGATCTCAGTGACCCATATATTTTTCTCTGCTAACACTTCCCCCACGCTTATTTTATGTGCCCCCGTACATATTCTCATTCTATTTTATTGGTTCATAATATTGCTTTAGGTCTTTCGTGTTGATAGGACTTGCTAAAACTTGTCCGTCAGTAGTCCGCAGCTTGTACATATCTTGGATAAGTATATCATGCACATAATATGGACCACTTTATTTTTCAGCAAATTTGCTACTTCTTGAATGTTCCAATGCCACATGATACATCAATACTTTGTTACTGATATCAAAGAGTTCTGCTAGGGCTCTATGATATTATGATGTACTTTCTGCTTTTCTTGTGCCTTGCTCACTTGTTCTATCACCTGTTCCCTTGCCCTAGGTAATTGTTCAATCAAGCTATGTGTTTTTTGTAGAATCATTCCATCAAGTAACTTCCCTGTTGCACTTGGATATATTGGCTGCCGTGTTTTACATCTGTACACAAGGTAAAAAGGTGTCATTCCAGTTGTTGCATGCTTGAATGTGTGGTAGGCAAAGAAAATGAATAGGATCAATAGGTCCCAGTCAATATTGTTTTGTGTCAATTTGGTTATGGCCTCGCATAGGGTACAATTAAAACATTCTACCAATCTGTTGGTTTGCGAATG